ATTCATTATTACAAATTATTATTACAAAATTATTAAATATTAGGAGAACTTTACTACTAAACGGAAAAAATTACGATTTGTAGAAATGCAAGGTTGGTCATGTTAGGTGCACATGCATCTGATAACACCACTAATCAGATTTTATGTTTTACCTGATAAACTACTTTCATGAGAAATGGATCTTTTATGAGGATGCATTAATCTGAAAACATTGAAAAGAAAATATGTGTTCATTTAATTGAAAATAATGGCTAAAATATTCTCACGCCATAGCATCCTAACGGGGGTACCCACCTTAACTGTTCGATTTTGTTTGACGAGAACATACACTCAAACTTTCAGTTCTCCAGAATAGTGGGTTGTAGCGAGCAATTCCTGCAACCTGACTATGCATCCCGTTCCGGCAAGGATAACATTACAGTGCTTTATCCGCTCCCGAGCGTTTTTTATTCGCCATAGCAACTCTTCTTTTGGCAAATCAGCTATCCATATCTCGCTGTTTATCGCGAGATAAGGTGATCATTATTACCTCTATAAAGATTGTAATTCAGCGTCATCACCGAGCGTATGAATGAGATAAACTTCTCGAGGACTGTCTTTAGTAATGCGATATCATCGAGCCCAACGACATTTTATTGCGTAATGAGCTGTTTGTTTCTTGTGTATAAAAAATTCTGGAGAGCTCCTTCCCTTCCCCTCTGGAGAGCTGATACTGCCTACTGCCTAAAGCAGATCGAATGCGCAAAAGCAGAAAGATAAGTTGTTTTATATCTTAAAAGCTCTTAATAATCTTTTCGTTTCTGTGATGTGATAACTGGCCAGATAATTGCAGAACAGGCAACTGATTGCTGTCGAAACACTTTCCCAGATCTTTTTAAGAATGAGATACCATGGACCCTCTCAACTCCGTCTTTTTGAAATTGTTTATATGACATATTATTAAAAACGTGTTTCCGTATGCTGTTGCACTTGCCTGTAATTTTAAATTGTTTTGATGAGAAAATGATTCCAAGGAGGATAAAATATATACCGTAGTCTGAATGAAAATATTTTTATTATCAGGAGGAAGCTACTGTTATTTCCTTCCTTCGTCAGTATCATTATTTTCAATTTCTAATTTCCTTGCCTTAAATATCACATTTTCTTTGATCATCACAATCATCTTCTTCTTTTTTTTCTTCTACTGGAACTTCCAATATATTTACATACTGCATGAAAATCATCTATCTTTTAAATAAAATTGACTTGATTGAGGCAGTTTTAGAGAGCGATTTTCGTCAAACAGATGCTTTTTTTTCTTTGAGAAACATTTTGATTTACTCATAACAAATGTTGCACTATCCAAATTTCTAATGTTTATCTTGTACGCTTTTATTACAGAGTGAGGTAGTCAAATAAGGAGAGTGAATGTATTTGTGAGCGATTCTACCTCTTTGACTAATTTAAATGTAATTATGCCTTGAGTAAAAAACTGTTTTTGATTTACCAGCTCCTGTAGTGAAAATTATTTAACTTTTCATCTACAGGCATTCATTAACGAAATATGCAGTCCATGTTCTGTGATAATTTGGAGGTAACTGTAAAAGATCAGTAATTGCTTCTTCGAATGCATTGTGGAATGCGAAGGTTTTAACCTTGGTTTAATAGTCGAATATGCAAAAAAGAAAATAGTTTCTCAATTATCTCGGTTTTGATATTTCAGTAAATGTATACGCACGGGCTACATTAAAACCATGGAATACAATCGGTCAAATCATAGTAACAAAACCACTACTAGATATGAAATTGCTACGAAAGAATAATGATGCAATGTCAACGATGCGCACATTTTAACCATTAAAAGAACCGTGCCCGTCAACACAATAAACAATAATCGCGTGTAAATCATGCACAAACGGTATAAAATTATTTATTGTTTACTAGTTCCGAACATCCGAAGGAGCCTGTAGACTGATGTAAAAATCATGGGACATAACCTACAATGCTATTGATACAAACAACAAATATAATGAAACCTATTTTATTACGCCTATTTTATTACGCATTAAACCTATTTTATTACGTTTTTAACGTTAAACGTTATTAAACCTATTTTATTACGCAGTTTCTTAACAAGAGAAAATTTGCCACATCATTCAAAATAATACTTGCATCGCTCCAGAGATTAGATCATTGTATAAAACCAAACGTACCTTTTATTTCATTTCTGAACACTGCAACGAATCTCATGATTTCAAACTCTTCTTCCGAAAACACAGTTTTACGAAAAATCAACGTTCAAACAAATTTCATGATACATGATTAGGATATTGTAAACACAAATAAAATTAAAGCAATGAGAAGTAATGTTGAAAAATACTGCCACATTAACTGAGCAATTATAGAGAATGCACTAAAATATTAGGATAGAGATGTGAACTATCCGGCAACAGTGGCTAGTCACTTCAACTAAAAAACAGTTTGAGAATTACGCTAGATCCTATGACGGGCCTTTTTTAAAATTTATTTTCTTTTGGGTGAATAATTCAAAGATGAATCTTAAAACCATCGGCACTTGTAATTAGTGCTTAAATCTTCTTATAATTAATCCAAATTAAACGTACTAATAATCTAAAAATACAACTAACATTACTACGAGGGTTTTAGATGTATCGTTATAAGAACACTCTACTTTGGGTCGAGAACTGAGAATTTATTGAGGAATGTATGAAACGGGAATTTGTTCTTGTTGTGAGTTCAGTGTATTAGGTTTTCGTTCGAGTCTTAGAGTTAGATTGGGTGAATTTTGGATGTTTTGAAGAAGTGGTTTGAATAAAAAATAATCTGGTTTGTTATCGGTTTTAACTGGAATTCTTTATGAAGTTATGTATGGGAGATGTACTCTGGTGCATTCGTGATGGTGCGCAGGAACTGGTTTTGGACTATTTGGAGTTTTTTGTTATTTGATTTATCAGCGGTAATCCATACTGGGCATGCATATAAAAATAGTGGTCGTATTATAAAGCAGTGGGGCAGTATTGTATGATAATTTAGCGGATCTATTGATATTGGTTTTAGTTGGTGCAATTTAATTTTTGCTTGTATAATTTTCTTATCGATGTGCTTTTTCCAACTGAATTAGGTTTCTAAGAAAAAGCGTAGATATTTTATGGGTTTGCTATGGGGGTGCAATTGTACAGATTCTTGGTTCAATGTTAAGGGGGGATGTAAGGTCGTAAAGAAAATATTTTGGGCTGCTGTATTTGACGAATTGATTTTAATGTTGTTTTTGGCTGCCCAGCTGTCGATTTGGTTAAGGAATAACTTTACATTAATTTTTATTGTGTTTATGGTGGGACCTGATGATATATAGCCGTGTCATCTGCAAACTGGGCTGTTTTTATATTACTATGTTTAGGCAGGACGACTGCGTACAAGTTACAAAGAGCGGGAGATAACGGAGAGCCTTGGGGAAGGCCTGCCTTGGCCGCTTTTGGATAAGAATGATAGTTATCGACTGTATCGGCAAAAAGTTCTATTGTTGAGGAAGCTGGAAATTATTTGAGTAAGATAATATGGATTGTCTATTTCTTTTATTTTGTAGTTTAAATCTTGGTGCCATGTTCTATCGACGACCCGAGAAAAGTCGAGAAAGATCATTATTGTGTAATAGTGTTTTTGAAATGGAACCCTCGTGTGGGACACAACTCCACGGTAAATCATGTTCTACAGGGTGACACGAGTCCTCAGGGTGGGAACCTAAGCATTAGATTTTATTCGCACCCTCCGCCGCCTCACAAGTACGACGCTACGACGAGCGGCCGGATCTAGCCCTAACGCAGTTTGCCCTCCCAGCAACTTTCCCATTCAATGCCTGTATTGGCCCGCCCTGCCAGCTCAGAACTACTAGCTTTCCGGGCTGGTAACACAGTCGAATCAATGCGCCACTCACATGCGCCGGGAATAAGTCTCTCCTCTTTGCCCAGAGTATCGGGCCGCTGCCACGACGAAGCCAAGAGCCCAACAAGGGAACACCCGAACATGGTACGGGCGGCTTGGGGCTCCCTTCCTGTCTCCTCACAACCTACACCTTTAGGCTAACGACGTGAGTATCGTCAGAACCGGGGCAACCTGTCGAGTGGTATCACGTTCCCGCCGGACTTTTGTTTGTGGATTCCAGAGCATTCCGAAGAATCTCCTTCACCCGATCCTGCCCAAACGCGCCTATGGCCCAACTGGTGGGTTACCGAGCAGGCCGGCAACTAGGAGCTTAGCATCGCCTATCACTGCATCCACCTTGAGAATAACGACGTGAGTACCGCAGTGAAACTCAGAGAGAAACCACCTACGCAGTCACGACCCCCCTCCTGCGGGGAGTGGTTTTGAAATGCCGTGTGAATGTTTTCAGTGATTCTGAGTAGTTGGTGATACGTGAACACGTTTTCGGTGAATCCTATTTGTCCCATGGGTATAGTCTTTGTGTTAGGAAGGTCGGCTTGTAATCGTTTCTATATAATTTTTCTAGTAATTTTGATAGCGTGGGAATCAAATTGATAATAATAATAATAATAATAATAATAATAATAATAATAATAATAATAATAATTCCGCATCGCGCACATGCTTTATACAAGGTCCTAACGTAGACTCCGCACATAATGTACTGAATTTTTAATCATGTAAATGTGTACAAGAATTTTACAAGTGTATTACAAGATGTGTACAAGACGAAGTAAGTAATTTGAAAGTTTTACATCCTTTTTATCTTGTGATTTTATTTGTCTAATCAATTATAACAATTTTAACTCTCTGCACCTGTAGTGCATTTTGACAAGGTGTACACATGATGTACGAAATGTCGAGGTGTAATAACAAATGATTAACAAGAAACATTAATTCCTCGAGTCTATGAAGACTGGTCGTTCATGATCCTGTCTTACATCCGGTGTTCTACCAGTCTCATTAATAATAATAATAATAATAATAATAATAATAATAATAATAATAATAATAATAATCAGAAGTAGAAGAAGAAGAACAACAACAACAACAAGAACAACAACAAGAACAACAACAATAAGAAGAAGAACAACAACTACAACACGAAGAAGAACAACAACAAGAAGAACAACAACAAGAAGAAGAACAACAACAACAACAAGAACATCAACAACAACAAGAACCACAACAACAATAAGAAGAAGAACAAGAAGAAGAAGAACAACAACAATAAGAAGAAGAACAACAATAAGAAGAACAACAATAAAAAGAAGAAAAACAATAAGAAGAAGAACAACAATAAGAAGAACAACAATAAGAAGAAGAACAACAATAAGAAGAAGAACAACAATAAAAAGAAGAACAACAATAATAAGAAGAAGAAGAAGAACAAGAACAACAACAACAACAACAACAACATTCGGCACGTATAGAAGACTTTTCAGATTATGTTTTGAAGGTTTCCGCACCTGCCTGCAATATACAATAAACACCTGTTATTTCACAAATTCAATGCATCCTTATAGACCGGAATATTTCTGAATGATTTTCAAACAACTAAGATTATGCAATATTTAAAAAAAGGCAATAAAGATGAATTTCAAAATCATTGGCCAGTATTTCTTTTTCAGTTTCCCAAAACCGTTTGAGAACGTTTTTTGCATATTAATGTAAATCTTTCTCGTGAAAAAACGAAGTTTTTTTTAATGGCCAACATGGATTTAGAAATTCAAAATCTGTGGAAACAGCTATGCTTTCTCTTCTAAAAGATATTGCTTTATCATTGAGTCAAAATGAAGTACCTATTGAAATATTTTTTGATATTTTGAAAGCATTTTCCTTCATTAATCGTAATTTTGTTTTCAAAATTATTCCATTTCCCATTGAAAATGAAGGATGTTGACATTAGCCGATGTTAGGATAACACAATTTTGTGTATATCATTTCGGTCAATGGAACGCTCCTTTTAAATGCAATTAACACAAAATTAAAATAATTTTGTTCTGCATTCATAATCGTGAAACTATTTATGAATCATATTCATGAGGTATCAGTATCAACAGCTAACTACTAAAAATTCACTCTCGATGCACATAGTTTTTTTAAACACATTACCAGATGACCTACAAAATAGATCCATAACTTTGATTGTCAAGAAACATCTGTTCGGTTCCATAACTGTTAATTTGGAGTCCATACTGAGCATCAAAAACGGTTTTATTGATATTACAGCATCAGGAACCATTTTCCATGTAATTCTCGCGTTCTCATATTTTAGCCGCTCCAATCTAAAGACGGTAATTTATGTGGTCCTTGAGGTTATACACTAAACGCTAGTTCCGGCATGTGTTAAAAGTCATCGCAGCTATGTATGGTCGTTCAGAGAAATAAGCTATAAGTTCTACTAATCAGTGAAATGCCAATTAATGTGCTCATACAAAACGTCGTAAGTGGGTATATGATGTACAAAATTATGTTTGCTTCAAATTACAAAACAGCAATACGAAAAGCTACACAGTGTAACGTCATATAGACTCGGAATATAGAAATTATTTTTTCCCTATTTTTTTAAATATTGAATGAAATGCATTGATTGAAAGAAATTCCATGAATTGAATTCATGCTCCTTCATAATCAACATTACTTTTCTGAACATCAGTATCATTCAATTTATTTTGTGCATCACAAATACTATTTATATAGTTGCTCCAAGTCGGAACATTTTATAGGCCATACAATTTGATCTCACAGCTATGAGAATATAGACAGAATCAATCTAGCAGAAATAATTTCTTAGATTAAGTCTCCCGTTTCACTTCCAGGTCTCGTTTCATCGAATGATGTTGGTGACGCAACACACTTGAAAATCAAACTTTCACACTACCGTCAGATGTGTACGAATGACATTGGCTACCAGCTCAAGTAAACACGAGTTCCCTGAAAAACAAGTCTATGTACTTCCTTTATTAGAACATAGTTAGAACAATTGCTATCATAATTGTTTGTCCATTATCTCGCTTCATTTTGAATTTTTCAGAGAATAACTCACGAAATGTATTCTCTTTTTGAGATTTTTGTGGTAGATTAAAAATAACCATATTTCAGAAAAAAGTTTTTTTCTCGATTTAATAGGGTACTTTTGAAATGAAAATGTGGTAAAACTGTATATTTTATACTAAAATAAAACTTTACTATTTCAACCCTTGCGAATTTCAAACTTTTTCTAAAAATTGTTTTTAAAGTAACCTGGACTGATCAGATCCTGACGTGTGCATTACATCATATCAACCAAGTGCTATACAGCCGAGTGATCTCTATACTCCTGCAATTAGATATTGCCCTATGCTGAATACTACGGTTCATTGAGAGCCTTATGTCCATCTTGGGTGCGCACGTAGCAATTTCTATGCTTTCCTTATCTATCCCGTACATTTAAATCGGTTCAAATTTGCATAGTATGCCTGAAATCACCATTGTCAGCATACTGTGCCCTCTTTTTAGGAGACTGCTTATATTGCTCTGATATTGTTTGGCTTATCTTTTGGTTTTACCTTGACAATTTACGGCTTTTCCTTCTATTTACTTATTTATTCATTCAATATTTAATTTCTTTATACAACTTAGGTTTATTCATAAGGCAGAATATTTGGTTAGTTTATATTGTAGAGGAGATACTTAAATTTCTTGTACTAATATATTTGCTTACGGGACAACGGTATTGACATCTAATAAAACGAAAAGATTTGTTTATCCAAACACAATGTAATAAACCCGACAAAGAAGCAATGCTGCAGCCCACCCCGTTCTGCCCAGCTCCTCCCCTCACGGCCCACT